TGCCGCGACTTACGCCCTTCAGCGTGTTAATATTTTCCCTCTTTTTTTTGTCTACTTTTTTAAATTTGCTATATTCTGAATTATTATTATTCGAGTTACGTTTATTCTCAATTTTTTTGATTCATCAACGTTTTAAGATTCATATCATAGTTTTTTTTGCTTTTAGTAAAATTTTCATATTTTTCTTTACTGTATTTCATTTTTTTCTTTATCTAATATGAAATTTCTTTACAGCTCAGTTATCGAGAAAATATGATTTTTTTCATTTCAATGTTTTTCTTCTTGAGTTCTTTCCAAACTGCTATTCATTGCACTTATTTTTTTGTTTTTTTTATGACTTATCCTTACTGATTTTATCTATCTTTTGCGAAAACTCCTCTAAATTTTTTTGGATGTTTCTTGTTTCTTTAGGATGAAAAAACTTTAAAATATTACTCTTTAATTTTATGTAACGCAATATGCACGGAAGCGTTTTTCATTCCATACTAATCTGCTTAGCGAATGCGATGCACTCCTTTTGATTGAAACTATATCTTTTCGAAATCAACTTACATCTTTCTAACCTCTTTCTCAGGAATAAAGATGCATCTAATCCTCACAATTGCTATTTATTGAAAGTTAATATTATCTTTTATAGTCTTTCACGACGCCAGTAGAAACTAATGTACGAAGCTACACATAATTGCTGTGTTGAACTTCAGAGCCGGGGATAACCTGATCCTTTGTCACCTTTCACACTGTGCTTATAATTTATATTACATGTACTTCGTGTGTATGTTGCCTCCACACACATGAATCTGTTTTATTATATTTAAAGACCTTTGGAAAATGCAACTTGGATCCTGAATCTATTGCCACATTTTTTTTTATCCAGGTGTTAAATGGATAGTCAAGAAGCATTAATACTTTTCCTAATTTTGCTTCATTGCATCTCTCTTCAGGGAGTACCCTTTCTCTCATATATACAAAAAGCCCTCCCAAACATGCTCACACAAGTGATCGCTATGTGCAGCTCAAGCCATGTGTCATCGCACGTCCGGTCTTTCTGAGAAGGTTCATAGTGCCTTTTCAAGAGGGTCAGATCCTGCCCTCCAGAGCCTGATTTATGATTACAATTTGGGGAGTTGGTGTGGTACAGGGGAAGGGTGGCGAGAACGGAAAAAATGACGTTCTAAGACATGCTGTGATTATTGATGCAGTTTGATTCGAATTTCCAATTTTGTCTGACTTTCAAGAAGGCTCCTAATTACCGTTAAGTTCACTTCTTGTTTGAGCTTCATCGTTTTCTCGCTTCGTCTTTACACATTGTGGGCACCAGGTCATTCATTTATCCTATGTTTAAAGGCTGCATAATTCACCTTAGGTATGTGTGGATTTTATGTAAAAAAAAAGTCTTGAGTATTCCCAAGACTTCTGCACTCAAAACTTTGATTAAAGAAACAGTAAGGTCATTTGTCTTGTATGAATCCCCCATGTTTAAATGTATGGATCATTTTGCAAATAGTCTCATATATTCTGTGGGAAAGATGAAATAACATAAAGAACTACACACCAGAGGGTGACTGCCACCCATTGCGCATGTGTCCTTTTAATAAATGGTGTTACCCATTTTGGTTCATTCCCTTGCAATATTTAATCATAAGACATCGTTGTCTTTAGGGCTGTAAAATTCAAGTATTTTGTATTCCCCCCAAATGATTCGTTAATAAACACCAGCTTCTCTATACATTGAAACTTATTTAATTTTCATTTAATTTTCACAATCATAAAAATCTCAACAATACACGAAAAATGTTTTTTATCAATTCTAAAAGTACAGCCCATGAGGAAAAGTCGAAGGGACTGTTGAACGACCACAGTGATACCTTATCCTATGGGTGTGTTCCGCAGATTGGATCAGCACGCCCCGGCTTTCCTGTCCAGAGCCCCACCCGGGACTTCGACCCCGAGACTTTTAATTAGTCCAGCGACTTACTAGACGGCTTAGGCCTGCAGCTTTCTTCGCACCATTTGAGCTACCAGGTGGGGGATTTGCAAATACTGGACCACCTCATTGGCACTACGCTGCCGGAGTTGTGTTTGGAGATTATGGACTCTTCCGGAGCGAGCAAAACCATTTTTTAAAACACGATTTGCTATTGCCTGGCATCGGATGGGGACCTAACACTCGAAGGGAGTTATCAGCTCTTGGATATTTTGTGCTAACGGCGCTTTTGCAAGGCCCTGAGGTTTGTTCCACAGGATGGGATTATCCCGCTTATAAATACACCGTACGACACGCTGAGGTTTTCGCTATGAGCGTGGCGGGGGGTGAACTCTAAAGAAGCTCATGAGGGGGTGATAGAAATGTTCACAACTTGAAAACTAATGGCCAGTAAAGATATGCTGGTGGACACCCCGGGGTTGATGACGTAGCTTTCGGGCGGGGAGCGAAAACGATGCGGCATAGGGGTCAAGCTCGTGTGCGATCCGAAAGTGTTTTTGCTGGATAAGCCGATGTCAGGGCCAAATTCGGTCACCGCGGTGGTATTAATTCGGCACCTGCTCGAGCTCGCGTGCGGGGGGCGGAGGATTATCTACACCATTTACCAGTCAACCGCCGAGGTGTAGGCATCGTTTGACAATTTGATCCTTTTGACGGACTGGCTATGCGCCTATCACAGCGCGATGGCGGATTCACTGAATTACTTCGAATCGATCTTGTTTACATTCTCCGAGCGGTATATAGCGGGGGATTGTTTCATGATATTTCTGCAGGACGAACAAACGACGCGTGTGCTTGTGGAGCAGTGGGAGCAGCTCTTCAAAATCGCCAAGCGCACCTCGTACACTATCTTCATCCTGATCGCGAAGACCCCCAACAAGTCCAACACGACTAAATTATTTTACTTGTATATAAAAAAAATTTCATCTCGATAGCCATCTAATTCAAATAGATTTTTTTTGCCGAGTCAATGAGCTAAGACGGGACAGTATGTTCATTTTTTAGCCTGTTGGACATGAATTGTTCTTCTCCAGCGTTGTAGGTTTGATTTATATACGTATTGAAATAGATATTGAAAGTCTTCAGGATCTGAGGGCCTCTTATTCATGGTCATTCTCAATCGTACGTATGAGGCATTTTTCACTGTTATAGATATTTTCAATAAAGTTCACCCGATTTTCATCTGTGAAAAGTACACTGGTTCCTACTAACCTCTTGTGTATTTCGTTGGCATCATGACCGTTCAGTTTACACCGATAGTATTTTTATTCTTTTTGGAATGTGTCATTATATACTTTCTAAGCGGTTTCTACGCCTCAGTCAGTGCCTCCTTTTTTTATTTTCTCATTATCAGGATGGCTCAGGAAATTAGTGAAGGACTTAGATTCTTCCCTTCAGGTTGTTTTGAATCATTAATGATTGCTAGTAGCATTGTACCCCTAATTATTTAACCACTTAGTGCAGCCGGTGTTCTTTTCAACAGTACGGATCACCTGTGGCCGTATTGGTATTTTCTTGTAAAGCTTTCCTTTATTCGCCACAGCTTTATTCTTCTGATGCGCAATGAGTTTACACATCTTCACAAAATCAACTTCAATTTACTAAAGAACGGCGAGGATATCTGCTGTAATCAGCTTCACAATGTCAAGGAGGTATTCATAAAATTAGGTATTCATTTGGATTCATAGCCAAAAAGTCTGTATGTGGGGTTGTCGCTGATTATTATGTGAACATTGATTCTAATCCTTTGTATCATTGCCTTAAATGTCGTCTCTCACCAAAAGGGTTAATTTTACTAAAAAGAGATAGAGAGGGAATACTCCACATGAGTATTCATTCTGTTGTTATCGTTTCCTATTTAACCTCATTTAACTCCTCTATTAAAATATCCAACCCTAGTTAACAGCAGCTAAAATGGAATAATCTATATTTATATATGAATTATTTAGTGTTTATCTGTTTTCAGTTACAAATATATAAACAGTGGTACTACAGTATTATATGTATCTGGAGAGTTCAGTAATTTTTTAAAATTTGCATGATTGATTAGGAATAAGTATAGAAAGAAAAGACTAAATTGACATGACGCAAGGAATTTTTTTAAAATATTCATTATTAGAAAGTTGATCAATATAATTTCATGTGTAAAACCCTCATTTGCTTTTTTTTTGTAAATTATTTTTTTACGTTCTGTTCATTTGATTATCATTATCATAAGCGTATATCGTTCTGTTTTTCAAATGTGATACTAATTCCCTAACATAATTTTTATTTCAATGGTGTAAAAAGGCCGCGATCACAATGTTCATTGGATTTGTACTACAATAGGAAATAATCTACGTTGGTGAAAATGCTAACCCGACACAATTATATTTCACACACAACTATACCCAAAATTGGTGCTTAAGCGCAATATTGCATATCTTCTTTTATTTTATCTATTGCTTTTTTCAGGTGAAATTTGAAGTGTACCTTTGAATGGGAAAGGTTTAAAGCGCACTGAAGGTGAGATTTCTTCCCTTTTTTGTTGTTTTAACAGGAATTCATACCCTCATATGTTGTTACAGTACAACACTCCATCCTGCCACCACTGTGTTAGGTGGGTGTTCTGTGTGGTACCCACATGGCTTGTCTTTGATTTTTTACTGTATAGCCTGGGCACCGGCCTTTCGGTTATCTCTTTGTTGTACAGGCTTATTGAGGGGGTGGTATGCCATTGCGGGATGCCAGACAAAGCCACGCGCTTCCCTTCCTTCTCCCTCTCTGAGGAAAGGGCAGGCAAGGACGGGGGGTATTCCTATCTGCCGATAAGGATGCTTCTGGCCGCGCGTGGATCCTCGGTAATAGGAATGTCAATCTGTGTGGAAACCGTCCCCTGACAACGGCACCCGGCTCGAAACTTATGCGGACAAAAACAAAGTAAGGGGCGTCCGTAACGATGCGAATCTCGTGGATGGGCGTGCGACCCAGCTTATACGACTGGGGGGGTCTCCTCTATAAAGAAAGCTGCCGCGCACCCTCTCCGATTCCCGGGTTAAGTGAAGAGTCTGGACTTTACAGAAAGGGAAGATAAAAAGCTCTGTGCTAGCGTTAGTCGTGATAATAAAAAGGGAAAACTCAGAGAACAAAACTTGATAACGATTTGTAGGAGTTGCGTGCATGAAGCTCGATGAAATGGTTTATTTAGTCACGAATGAATGTAAATTTTATCTGATTTTGTTCTTCCCCTGGTTTATATTTACAATTTTTTTTCTTATAAGAATCTTGGTAGGTGAATTTGTTTGCTAAATGTGTCAACACGATGGAACCATAAGGCTTCTCAACCTGTTTGCCGACTGTGTTTAATTTTTTTATTACTTTTCATTACATTTATTCGGAAAATTCTGATTTTTTTTAAGCTGATAGTTGATTTATATACCATTGTTGTGTGTTTTTGAATTACACAAATTATGTATAAGCTAATAAAGTTCATATTAACTAAATACACTATTGTATGCATTGCTATGGCATCAAGGATAGCCTTACTAATTTGATTCCACGCCGAGAAGTAAGTGCTGCGTCTAAGTGTCGTGTTATGCTCTTCTTTTCCCCCTAAAACATCAGAGACATCAGAAATGCTGCTATGAACTTACAACAATTTTTATCCGTTCACAGTGAAATATGGTGTTGTATTTACATATTTCCACGTATACGTCTTTTGTGATCTATATCCCCTGACACGCATGCACACGTCTTTCTTCACCTTGATAAATTTTTCTTACCTTTTTATAAAGCTGAATTTTTTTATTTTCAAAAACTCATCACAAGGTTAACTACCTAACAACAGAAGGCGAATCTGAAACGTTTTTGAACATGTCAAAAAAGATACAACCCTTTCACATTGATCCCATTCCCTCCCCGAAAGGAAATAAGCAAAGACCTGTCGCCGAGGAAGAAGACGAAGAGGGGGAAGAAAGCGAGTTTGACCTCGTCGACGTGATGAACAGCATGACGCCAGCAGAACGGCGTGAGGTCTACGCCCTGCGCGGGCTCTGGGAAAGTTATAAAACGCTCCGAAAGGAACTCCGCGAGCAGATTGGGGCTCTGAAGGTCGCGAACGCGCAGGCTCGCAATGAAATCTTTGCAAAACGCCAGGCGATTGTGACGGGTACACGGGACATTACCCCAGAGGAGCTGCAGGATGTTAAGCTTAATGCAAATACAGAGGAAAAGGCGGAAGAGGAGGAAAAGGAGGATGGGGTTGAGTTGTCTTCCTCGTCTAAAGCCCAGGCTGGAAAAAGTGTTAAAGTTGTCGCGCCGAGCGATCAGGCAGCTAAAAAATTACTGGAGGCTGCCGCCGAAGACCCGAACGGTGGAATTCCGAACTTTTGGCTAACGGCGATGTGCAATTTGGATACCATAGAGAATATGATTACGGAGCGCGATCGCCCTGCGCTTTCCTTTCTCACGGATATCTCAACCGAGTACCTCGACAAAGATCCACACAAAGGGGTAAGACTCGTGTTTAGTTTTGCACCGAATGAGTACTTCAAGAATTCCACCCTTGTCAAGACGTACCGAATGTCTTTTAACGAGGAAGAGGGTGAGCTAGAGGTGGAGAAGATCGAGGGCTGTGATATTGAGTGGGCCTCCAAGGCAAACAACCTCACAGTTACCATTAAGGAAAAGAAGCAGCGGAATAAGAAGACAAATCAAATCCGCATCGTGGAACGCGAGGAACCTTGTATGTCGTTTTTTAACTTCTTCACAGCACCAAAGGAGGAAGGCGAGGACGATGACAACGATGAAGACAGTACGGATCATGAGGAAGAGTGGGAGATGGATATGGAGGCAGGGCAAGAGCTGATGGAGCAGATCGTACCGAAGGCAGTGTTTTTCTATACCGGGAAATCCGTGGATGAGGTCGCAGCAATGCTGCACAGCCATTACGGAGACATGGATGGAGAGGATGAAGATGAGGATGAGGATGAAGAAGAAGAAGAAAAGGATAATCTAAAGAGGGTTGGTAGATTCTCAGGAGTTCAAAATTTTTCACGCGGCGGTGGTAGTGATGGTGCTGGGAGTCGCGGAAGGGGTGGATCCACTTCAAAGCCAGGGGAATGCAAACAACAGTAATCATGATGTGCACCACTTTTACAAAGTAACTCTTTAAGAGACGCAATAATTGGATAAATTGTAAAATCAAATATTAACTAGGCAAAGCGGACTAGGTGTGCTTTAAATAATAAACCCATAACTAAACACGATTGATCTGTATAGCTGAAAATAGGTAAAGGGGAAGGTGTCTTGATCAAATTAAGCACGCTGTTTTTCTTTAACGTTATAAAAGTGGGCCCACTCACTTCTATGAAAGAATGGGGAAAAAACTGAAGAGGCTATATAATCTGATAGATTGAAAAGTATCATTGATGATTAGCTAACGTGGAAATAAAAAACAACAACGTAAGTGCATATAAGTGGCTACGCACAAGTATGAGTTAGTTTTTCTTAACTTGTCGCATTGGGTGAACGAAAACATGTGGTGTAAAATTCAAAGAACCAACACACTTTTACAGTTAAATTTAAAGTCTATACATTTAAATGCATAAACTAATCAAAATCTTTTCAAGATGTTCAATGAGATAATGAGCTTATTCTCTCATTATTTAGTGATATTATTTATCCACTATTTGTTTTTTATTTCTTTGTGCTTCTCTTCCTTTTTAGGCAATCAAATATCTAACGTGAAAAAATAAGTAAGTGTTGGAGCATACCTCCTCGTCTTCCAACATATCTTCATTATCTCACGCAGTCCATCTTATAGAAGGGTATCAAATGCTTATTCGTCGACGTCAAACACACTTCCTATATTTCTTCACATAGGCCTTTAGATTGGCTTTTCAGGGCTCGTTCAGAGCATAATCCTATTGGTGAATAATTCAAGCATGCCAAATAAATTCTCTTTTAATGTTTATATATTTATTATAGTATTTACTATTTTTTTGATAGTAATGGGATTCACCGTAATCATTGTCCTTTTCTTCGTCATCGAGGTTCAAAAAAAGGTTCCTATTAGCCAAGGTCCAGTGGAGCAGTTTTACGAAGGTCATCAAGTCCGTGGTCTTTCGTTGGTGGTAGAATCCCCGCGGCCCCCAACCCGACCCCCCCCCACGGCCTCCCACGGGGTCTCTCACCCAGCGCCTCTGCAAGGTCCCACTTCGGAAGGATACGG